GAGGTGGCAGGGGCCCGGCCTGGCCCGGCTCTGGAGCTGCTGCTGCCTGGTGCTGGGCTCCTGGAGGGCTTTGCTCGCCTGCCCCGCGCCTTGCACATGCAGCGCCTCGCGGATCTGGTGCATCGAGCCCGCGCCGGGCATCGTGTCCTTCCCGGTCTTGGAGAGAAGCGCCGAGCGGGAGAACATCACCGACATGTGAGTAGCGCAGCGGCTGGGCACAAACGAGGAGATCCCTTTTATCGCTTTAATTTTATGTCATTTCCATTATGATACTGCATCCAGCTTGTGTATGGATATTCTCTCTTTCGGTGTATCCACAGCTAGTACATGTGTGTACCAGCTAATTTACATAACTAATCATTGTATTTTCTATGTGTGTACATCAATCTGCCTACGAGAGAAAGCCAGAGAGAGAGTGTGTATGTATAAAGGGACAGAGAATCTCCACAGTATGTAGATACAAGAGAGAATCCTTTGCATTTTGTGTTGCTTGCCTCTAAGGCTTGCAGAAATGATGCTCACATTTTCCTTGCAGCATCTCTTTTGCAAGCCTCAACAGTAGCCAGTATTTTTTTTTAATTTCGCTCTGCGAAGAACACCAAATAGGAAAGGAGGTTTTGCTTAAGGAAAGATTGTGAACGATCTGTAATAGGAGAAGTTCTCTGCATTGAAAGGCACTTGCTCGGTAGGAAAATGTGATCGTTGGAAGCCTAAAAGCCTGGTATGATTTAATTTAGACTTGACTTCCCAAAGATATAATTTTGAAGCCATTTAGATTATACATCTTAATTGCCCTTGGTACAGTTTCCTGGGAATAAGTTAGATAATAAAGGAGTATAGCGCACAGATTGGTGCTGATTTTGGTAGAAGGCCAATGTGTTAGCAGAAAATTCTTCTCTGTCAGATTTTTCTTGGGAGAGGTATCAATGTAGCTGCCACTTTATCTTTCTCTTTTACAGATTTTTTTTTTACAGATCTGTAAACAATTGCTACACTACACATATCCCACATCTCTTCTAGAGAATAAATTAATAGGGACCTCTTTATTCTCTCATGTTCACCTCTACCTGTTCGTCCTATTCATTATTCATGAACGAGAACATTTTGATGGGTCGCTCTTTCCCCAATCAAAAATTTG